GGGGGGGTCATTTTTTTAAATTTTATTTTTTTGTTCTAGCTTGTTTTGTTTTGATTCGCTTCTCTTTTTGAGCTATTATTTTTAGAATTCAATTAATGGTTTATGCCCTCATTGACATGATTTAAGATCATTCAGGAGGCGAGCTGTTTCGACATATTGCCTGTCAGGGTCAACCTGTGTACAGTTGATTACTGCATAACAGTCGGAGATACTCGATTTATCATTCACATACTATGAAATACAAATTAAGTAACAATAACAACAACAACAAAAACTACCCCCCCCCCCAAAAAAAAAAAAAGAAACCACATAGGGAATCACTTTTTCATCAACCAGCTCCTTTTTTTTCTTCTTTTTTTTTTTGTTAACATGCAAGACCCATGCAGTCTTCTAGCCCTCTTTTTGTCTCTGAAAACTTCTAAGATGTAAGTATATCCCCACGGGGGCGGGGGTGGGGAAAGCCATTTCAGTTGTTGCTGAACGAACACCTTTTGTATGTTTATCACGTACTGTGTGATTCAACAGAAAAATGCATAAGATACAACCAAAACTAAGTTTCAAAATGTTAAAAGTAGAACAATAATAATAGTTAAGCTTACTTAGCTGGTTAAATCAGTTAATTCATGAGTCCGATATACTGGGTTTCATAACCTAAAAGAAGAAGCAAACTTAGAAACCGTTGAAATAAGGAATCTCACTACATATAAAAACAAAAACTCAAAAAACAGAAGTACTCCAGAGTTAAAAAGAGGGTGGGCACACGACTTACCTATAGCGCTGAGCTAGCGTACTGTGGGGGTTAATGAGTGCTTTTGTGATTGAAGGTCCTAGCTCGGGCATTCTGAAATATAGGGATAATGTTGAAGGCATAACAAGAGTATAATTGATTACGAATTAAGAGGCGATACGCGAAAAAGAAAAAGAAAAACAGTTAAGCATGCAGATTTTTGTGTCCGCACCAACCAACTTACCCTTTCTCTCCCCAAACCCTTCCTCTCAATCCATCCATAGCTAGAAGTAATAATGGGTATACTAAGTGACGCTACAGCAGTTTTCAATAATTCCCATCTTTTGCCGTTGGCCATTTCTTCCCTTTTGAGTCAATGTTATTGTCTTGCTGTAATTTTTTATATTTTCTTTTCAAAACTAAAATTGTGTTAAATTTTGCACCTGATAAGCATGTACACTAATAACATTTGTACAGAAAAGATCTGACAGAGCAGTCTTATTAATTTGCGAGAGAACACGAATTATTTTTAAAGGGTTACTTTTGGGAAAGAAACATCAACCACAGGGTTTATTAAATACCAATGTTTAAAGTTGGTGTCCCTTTTTTATACTCACATTAAGGTGGCATTTCATTTTTTTATGGCAGGTTCAAAATGATCCTGTCAACTTTGAGAATTGTTTTTCGCGGTTGAATCATGTGTTTCTCTCTATCACTTATGCCACTTTAACCGAAAGGACAACACAACTATTGGATATCAGGGTTAAAAGATTCCTATCTATTGAAAGGCATTTTACTGGGTAAGTATTTTCTTTTTATAAATATAATAGATCAAAATTGTAAAAGTAAATGTAAAGAAAAATCATTCAAGAATCAAGACTGAGAAATAGAAAGAAAGAGAGAAACAAGAAAGAAAGAAAGGAAGGAAGGAAGAAAGGAGGGAAGAAAGAAACAAAGAAAGGAAGAAAAAAAGAAAGAAAGAAAGAAAGAAAGAAAGAAAGAAAGAAAGAAAGAAAGAAAGAAAGAAAGAAAGATTGAGTTAGACTCTGGAACTCAAAAAAGAAATTGAGGAGAAAAAAAAAATCTCCAAACACCCGGAAGTGATTTACGATACCGGTATACACAAAAAAGAGCTTTTAAAATTTCTTTTATTGTAGTCGAAGTCATAGCACTTGAGTCTTGAGCGAATGGGAGACAAGGTTCAGTAAAATAATTTCCATTTAGGAAATTTAAAAAAGACAAAAAGAAAAGAAAAACCATGAAATTAATATGCAAAGAAAAAAAACTGTACGGAGTAAAGAAACAAAGAAAAACAGAACCGTATGAATAAAAAACAGTGAGAAAAATAACAAGAAAAAAACCCAGAAAGAAACAAAAGGAGAAATAAATTCGTGGGTGCTCGTCAAGTGTTCTGGTGTAGTTTGCTCCTTCTTTCTCATCAAACACCTATCATGCTTATCTCTCCTCCTTGGGTTTTTTTTTCTTTTTTCTTTTTTTTTTATTGTTACTCTCTTATAACTCATCTAATTAGGATTATAATCTTTGGCATTTATATGAACTTATTGTGTTGCAGGATGGAGAGTCACTACACGTAAACCTCTGAGTCAGAGATGACACCTCCAGGTACCAGGTATTGTGTTGTATGTTCCGTAAAACTTTTCCTTAAGCAAAAAAAGAAAAACAAAAGATAGAAATTCCGTCTCACCTGACCACATCCTCATAGCCAAACCTGCCGAAGACCCTCTCGTCCCCATCCAGCTTGTCTCCATCCTCCTCCGTGCACGGCGTGTCGCAGGGCGGTGGTATCCTTGGCAACCGGTACGGCGTGGAGCACTTGACGGAGATGTCGTTGAGGTCAACAAAAGTGATCTGAGAGCCTTCCGACTCGGCGCTTTTGGGCTTGGAGAAACTGCAGGCAATAAATTATAAGCAGTTATGCTAAATTGTTAGGTTTAACACCTCTTGGACAAAATCAAAGCCATATATACCAACAGTCTGGGAAGCCAAAGGGACTCAAAGTAAGGTGAGTAGCATCCCTTGCAACAGTGTACTTGGTTGGGTTTCTTTTTTTTTAAGAGAAAAGACCTCTAAATTTAACATCCTTTGCCGACAGGAGAGATCCAAAATGGGACATTTGTGTAAGATAATGTGTCTTTCCCAAAGACACAAGGTAGAACTAAGCTGAGCCTCGGCGAACCCATAACTCTCAACCTCATGTTTATGGATCCGGCAGCCTAACTTCTTGTTGTGTAAGGCAGGGTCTTTTCATGCATCTCATTTTAAAGTATTTAATATCCATCATTGAATATTCAATAAGGATACTAAAATCCCACTGGTAGAATCAGTCGTGGGTGATGATCAAGGAGAAGACCAATGGAGAACAGAAACGCCATTTAAACTGTACATGATGAAAGATACAATGAAAAGGAAAATAGAAGTTGGAGAACACCACCGTCAACAACAACAAAAACAACAGCAACAACAAAAACAACAACAGCATCACAATAAACAACACCAACATAAACAACAACAACTTAAACAAATACGAGCATTATCTACATGACCACAGGTCTTACAAAAAAAAAGCAAGTAAAGAACAAAAAGAAGATGAGGAGGGGGTCGATGGGACAAAATTTTGCATAGAAACAGCGAAAAGGAAGAAGAAGAAGAAGAAGAAGAAGAAGAAGAAGAAGAAGAA